GAATTTTAGAGTCGAAACCATCCCCATTTGCTGCCATTCTTGGGCATGCAACCGGTTTTGGGGGAGGTGTGCGACTCGAGGTTTTAATTGTTCTTGGGAGGGGTGTTAAACCCACCCAAAATCTTCAAATTCCAACAGATGGCGGCTGCCATCATTTGCCTTGGAAAGACATTAAATGATGCGATTATTAGAATTTTTGGATATATTCATTAAGGCTAATGTTTAAGTATCCGCTACATTGGTGTTAGTATCTGGCGGATTGCTTTGAAATCAGTTTTACCCAACTTAAGTTTTGGAGGTTTAGAAGTTCTTATTAAGTATTGGTCGCTCTGTCAGGAAGTCCGAGTAGGTGATAGCAAGCCTCCTAAGGAAACAATTGATTCTCGCCAAACTGTGAGTTTCACGGCCCCTTTTTACCAATTTTCTTGTTTTGGGGTGAAAAACATGATTAATGAATATTTGATGGATTTATTCGATATATGAATTTTGTTATGAGCATTTAAATGTATACACTGTTGATATGTTGAGACTGAAAGTCCCCGTTTATTTCCACTACTATTAATTCATTTTGAACCCATGATTCTTGTGGATGACGCTATTTGGTTGTTATACCCACCCTTTTTATTATCAAGTAGGGGTGCACTTGGTCATTAAATTTTGCTCTACACATGTGGGGTTTTAGTCCCACCGCTGAGGTAATCCGGCATGAGTTCTACACATGTGGGGTTTTAGTCCCACCGCTGAGGTAGTTCGTAAGTATGTTCTACACATGTGGTTCGCTACCACATCTGAGGTAGTTCGTGGGACGTTTTTAGGTTTAGTAGTGGCTCAACAATATAAATCATGTGTATGTCGTCATTTTAAAGATATGCTCATAAATTTATAACTAAGATTGCTGCATTTAAAATCATTTTGTGCATGTGAAAACCTGTGAACTCACCAACTCTTGTAGTTGACTCTGCTTTATGCCATGCTTTTCAGGTACTAAGTAAGTTATGTGGACTCTGGGAAGCATTACTTGGATCACATCGATTAAGACAGTTTTTATTGTATTTCAAATATTTTTGTAACCTTGGAATCCTGTTAAGTCGATGAACTTTTATTTTTGTTATTATTGTGAATCTTTGTTGAAAGTGTTTCTCTTAAACAACAGCCAAGACTCGCTTGTCTGTTAGCATTCCGTGTTTCCGTTTTAGTGGGGTGTGACAGATGAGCATTTTTATATATCATATTTAGTAACACACTGTCCATTTGGAACAGAAATTATGGAAACTCAGTTTAGTTTATGCGCCACTGGGAGAGCATTTGAGATGATTTTAGTATGGAATGGGATGATCTTGTTTGCAAGTCTTTTTGTTTTGATGTATAATTTTGTTTTGATATATAATTTTAGTATCGAAGAATTGGAAACTGTTTATTGCCTATTAGTTTATGGTTTGATAGAAGGCCTATGGTTCGTAAACTTTATGTGCAACATCTTATGTGAATTGTTCAAAAACTATTATATTGGAATTTGATTGTTATGTTTTTGTTTATGTTATGTTTGTTTGAATTAATATGAAATATGTAGTTACATTTACAAAGCAATTGTTTTATTCATGTGTCTACCAAACAACTATATTTCATTCAGTACTAAATCATACAGAGGGTTAAAATGGTAATTTGTTGTCATTCAGAGAACATTTACCAAACAACTATATTTCATTCAACACTTAACCATTCTCACCACTTAACCATTCTGCACAAAATCATTCAACAGCTGACACACAACCCTTATATTTGAATAATTTTTTACAATATTTTTTTTATAATTTTACATAATTATCAATTAATTTTTATGATTTATTTATCGACTGACCTATCCGCGATTGCCTCAGCAGCTTATCGAGTAGGCTAGTTTGCCATAGCCGAAATGAGGAGCAAGGTTTTCATTTCAGTTTCTCACCACTAGGATTGCTGATCTAGGGCACAAAATTATAGCGTCTGAACTTTTAATTTGAGCTACGATGTCTTCTCGGCATGATAGTCGACACACAGACGGCAGTGGAGGATCTTTACCGTACGATGAGTTCGAAGATCGAGATTTTCATTTGAAGGTTCTTACACTTAAATTTTAGTTTTTACGTTTCAATTTGGATGACTATTTTTACGATCTTAATGATGAGCTATAGAATTTTTATGATTGAATTCGTATGGTATGCGTTTAGATATGAGTATCGATTTTTCACTAATGTGAATGTGCGGGTTGACGCTTACTTTTCTAGCAAATAATCAGAACCGTAGAACGTATCGAGATGCATAAATACCCTAGCTTTCGCTTTTTTGCAGCATGTATTCTTTCCTTTCTGATAAAATGTATGCACTCTTTCAAATTTGATACATGAAAAGAAAATTGAGATGTACATTAGAACCTAAAGCAAATATCGTATCATGTTTCGTCTTCAATGAAAAATATTTGTCTGGACATTAGAAGTGAATGTAACGCTTTCCAGGAACGGAGGGACTAGTAATCAACAAAATTGAATTGCAAGTTATGCAACCCATTTTCTACTACTCTGGCCTTAGTGGGAACAGTTTATCTTGCGTAGCTTAACATATTGGATATAGTAATGATATCATTTTGATGAACTCTGATAAGTATTCATTCACCAAGTTAGCTAGCCTATATCAACCATCTAGGTCTTAGTATTCCTTGGAATAATTTCTAGGTCCTCTTTAGAGAAGAAGTGAAAAAGAGGAAGTGAGAAACAACGAAAAAAAAAAATAAAGGTAGAAACTGGCAGAGTTAAAATTTATCCTAAAGGGGAACGCTTTTATATGAATCGTAGTAGAGAAATAAGGACACAAACAAATGATGGAGTAAAAGGTTATCTGAGAGAACACTAGAAGTGAGAACAAAAGTCTCAAGTACAATCAGTCATTACAAAAAGGGGTGGATGGATGCTCTGGCTATAGGGACCAGTTGACCCTTCTGCAACTGCATATGCTGCTGCTGCTTTGTACAAAAGTTCTCTCTGTGGGGAATAAAGGCTCATTGGACTAAGCTGAAACTCTAAAAAAATGAAGCTGTGGTTCATATTAGCCTGGCAACAGGGATTTTCTACCAGTACCAGCACCTATTGGATTCATCAATTTCAATCTGCCATTATATTGCTACTCAATTAACTGATCATTCTGAAATTGATTTTTTTGGTCTCTGTCACTGAAATTTTTGATCTATCATATTTAGTTAAGCAATCTTCTTTTTAGAATTGGATCAGGAATACCTTGCCCAAGTTCATTAGAGAAGTGTGAGAAGGGAGAAAGAAGAAGAGAGGGAAAAACTGAAACAGAAATCATTCAACAGTTTTATAGTTATATTCATATCTATATACTTGCTAATCATCACACACTTTATTTAACAGGAATTTGCTACCATTACAACACAGAGCAAAGTTTATTTCCTAACTAGGCTAGAATTCACAGCTTAATATGGCTGTGCTAAAAACTTTTCAGCTAATTCATCATTAACAGAGTTTGTTTCTCCCCAGGGCTTATACCCTTGATAGCCTATGAGACCCTTTGACTAAATGTCTTTCTAAAGGGTTTTGTAATGGTAATATGTGAAACCTTTTATATTTTCTTAGCAAGCTGAGTAACAGTGTCTTAATGTTCCACTTAGAACTTTCAAAACTGTGGCATTACTACAGAATCGCACAAGGTTGTTTCATATCACTAAAAAATCTCAGTCTTCCATATTTGTAAGACTATCATTGAGGCATCTCATAGATGACGAGTAATGTATCACCAATTGTCACCTTTTAGTAATAGTTTCAGCTTGTTTTATATGATCATGTCGCAGTGGAACTCAAGTAAACTTCTTTAATATCGGTAGTCAGAGATGTGTTCCATTATGGAATATGTATTGTTTGTTATGGGGATAGTATGGTGGTTTCAATGTTGGTTGAAGAAAGAGATTTTATACATATCATCAGGAGTAGAAAAGCTTTTTGCTGCAACCAAACATGACCTGTTTCTTTACTCTTAGAAGGTAAGATCACTAGATGTGAGGTAGGCATTGACCATTTAAGTGAAGAAGCAAACCCACCTCATCAAAAGAATAACCAACTTTTGTTTGAAGTATATAATATGTATTGTACGTCAAAACTCACACACACTACTCACCTTTGGTGAGGTTTGAACTTGACCTACAGGGAGTTTGGGCTCTAACGGTAACCTGGATATCTCTGGGACAACTTTTTGTTAATTGGCTTGTGAGGTTTCCTTACATTTAACAAGTTAAGATCAATAGAGTGGAAGATGTGTTACACTGTGTAATGCTGGAGTTCACTTGAGCAGATAGTGAAGGCAAAGGATGTCGATAGATTCATATAATCATGTATAAGATTCTGAATTGAGTCATAGTGCAATCACATACACATTCAGCTCAAGAATAATCGGTGATGCTCAGCATCATTTAGAATGCATCTCAGAGCATCTTGGAATTGCTTATTGGTTAATGACCCTTTAATATGAACAGCTGTGCTATGCCCCTTTCATAAGATTTATCTTGGTATAGTAATTTTTCCATTGCTTTTATTCTCTCTTTTTCCACCCTGAAGTAGTCTCCTTGAGACAGCTATACCCTGTGTTTTTCAGTTTTCATGAAACCTTTTATCTAGTTGAAACACCAAATTGTTGAATCCTGATTTATGTTTACGTTTGCAGCACAACAGTCGTGGAGATAATGAAAGGTTAAGGACCACAGATCCCGATAGGGGAAAGGACAGAGACCGACGCCACAGGGACTACTCGGAGAGAAGTGGCAGGGATGAGAGAGGAAGGGGGAGAAATGACGATAATGGCCGTGGAAATCGTGATTATAGCAGGTCAAGATGGGGATGTTTTTATTCTCATTGCTTTCCTTCTCTATTTTAATTAGACCTTAACATCTGGGTGCACAGAATGTGACGTGTCAGCAAAAAGATGTCTTTAATGTTCTCTATTTTAAAGTTTATTTACAATTTCAATAAAGCTCACATGCTTTATATTATTCAAGTTACCCATTTTGAACTATTCATGCTCCTAATATCTTTTGCTGCAAGCATTGACCAAATTGGCACAATTTCTCGTTAACTAAAATACATATGCTTGCTTCTTATAGTTCTTATGTTCGTTCTCATATATTATCATTTTTCTACAGCCAACTAAAGTAACTAGAGAAACCTGTGGGATCAGTAAGCTTGTTTGTATGTTGATGGATTGTAGTGGGTGACTGGTTGTGTACAATTAATTTATGTTGGCGGTGCATTGCAACCGACTTTTTTCCTTTTTCTGTTTTTCCTGACCTAATTTTCTACATGGCAAGCCTTGTTGATCCTCCACCCCCAAAAAAAGAAAGAAAAAAAGAGCAGTCACACAAAAAGAATGGAACCACAAACAATATTTATATCACATTAAATAGAGTGCTGCATTACATCCAACTCTGCTTTATGCAAGCATGCCACCTATTGAACATATGGTCACTCATTTCTGCAGGCGCCATGATTATGATCGAGATAGAGAGAGACATCATAGACACAGATCACGGTCTGCATCACCTGATAGATCCAGGGACACATCAAGATCTCGCTCAAAAAGGTCTCTGATAGATTGACTCAAGCATATGCTATTTCATTTTAGGGGTTGAACTTTTGTGTTCTGCATAGTCGATATATATATCTGGGTTCTAAGAGTCTTCATCGATCACAATTCATTTTACAATACAGAAGTGTACACCACATATGGCCCTTATAGCAGAGGAAATGTTTTTCTAAGCAATTGTTTGCTTTAGGTTAATTAGTTTCAGAAATGCTGCCTTCGTTAGTAGGTACACACATTGCATGATTTATCAAGAGGGCGTTGTTGCTCCTTTTTAAAATATTTGAGGATATTTGTGGCTGTGGTTCACTGGTTCTCTTCCCTTGTTGCAAAACACTCTGTTTTATCCCTCAAGGCATATTGGTATGCTCCATAATGTTTTTATGAAGAAGCTACATTTAACAAGGGATGCTTTCTCTGGACCCTTTATGCATTGTAGTTTACCCAAACTCTATTGATTCTTATTTCTCACATCTTTATATTGTTCGTCACAATAGGTTTTTCTAACGAGCAAAAAACCAGTAGTAAATGTTTGACTTATTTTTTGCTGGTGTTAAAAAAATTCAACTATGTGAAATTCTTGCTTCTACCTTTTCTGTCACACTTGTATATTTTCTTTACAGCAAGAGGACAAGCGGTTTTGACATGGCACCACCTACTGCTGCAACTTTGCCTGGTGCAGCTGGTTAGTTTTTTCTTTGCTGCTACTTATTCTTGCATCTTTTTTATGCATATGTCATATCCATATTACAGAGAATATAAAATACTTGTGATGTATCTTAGTAGTACTTGTTATGCATTGCAAAATTTTCATTATCATTTTGTTTATTACCAACACTGAGGACAATTGTTGTGTTGTTGGCTGTTGTGTGTGGTTTTTGTATGTGTTAATGTGTCTGATATGGGTAAGAAGGCAATGTTGGGCCACATGTCCCACTGCGCTACCCACGGGCGTCACTACTGTAGATTTTATGTTCAACGAGGAACCAATGCTCCAATAAGCTGGATCTTTTCACCTTCAGACGGCAACTGTTGTTATTTGGTAGACTTGCAATTGTACCCAGCATCTGCAGTGAGGAAATTATTTCTAATATTAGTACTCAATCATATGTAAATCTAGGTACGAAGTAGGTTATCTTTTTGCCCTTACAATTTTTGGTGCAGTACAAATAAATACAAGCTTCTAGGTGTGTTGCTTAAAAGAATCTAGGCGCAACACATTTGTTCTCACTGACTTTGTCTACGCATGTTTGCTTATTTCCCTTTGTTAATTATGCAGGGCAATTTTCAGATGTTCCTCAATCAATGCCGGGAATGTTGCAAAATATGTTTCCTTTTGGTACAACACAGGTCGCTCTTCTTGTCTTTCTGTCTCCTGTGTTCATTCTTTTGGTTACCAGAGTCCTCAATAGGGCACTTCATGTGAAACCAGTTATTGCAAGCCACCCATCAGGGTTTTTTTGTCTCATTCCTTATATTATATGGTTTCTATTAGTTTGATTATTTACAAGTGTTATGTTCTCTTAATCAGTTGGGAGCTCTTCCCTTGATGCCAGCTCAAGCAATGACACAACAGGTATCTATATGGTGCTCAGTTGGTTTACTGTTCATTTAAGTATATTTTTCCACCATTGTGTTGCTGGTGATGATCTTTCTTTATCTATATAGGCTACAAGGCATGCACGACGAGTTTACGTTGGTGGTCTGCCCCCATTGGCTAACGAACAGGTCTACATGTGAACTATATTGGAATTTTACACAAATTCCTCATTATCTTGTTTCACACGAAGCATCAAACAGACATTTGTCGACAAATTAATTGTGACGAGCATTAACAAATGGATATTCCTTTCAACTTGGTTTCTATGTATCTTGTCATCTTGATATGCTTATTTGTCTTTGAAACATGCCTTTTTGTCTTTCTTTTTAAAATTTGATCTGTTGTACAAACTGATTCCCAAAAGTAGTATGGTAAAAATGTACAGGCAGGTGCTCTACAGTCGAGAGTTCATAGCTGGTGCTTAGTAAAAATCATGCATGGATCGGATCAACATTTTGAGTTGCCAAGAAATGTATAGTTTAGAGGCTTTTCCAGGTTGCACAGGAAGACTGTTGTCATAGTGGATGGAGTATTAGTTATTGTAGCTTGTTTTGACCTGAGGCCTAAAAGAGAAGATAGGGCGTTGCCAAAACTGACAACTTGAACTTGGCCTTAAATAGACACATAATGGGCTCAACCATTTTTTGGGCGATTACACCTGAACAATGGAAGTTATTCAGGATTAAAGATTTCAATGGGAAGTTTTCCTCAAGATCAGCTGTTAGGTGTTTTACCTTAAAAATGCTTGTGCTATTAGTGCAAGTTTATGACCCAATATGGACATCATGGGTCTGGTCCATCCTGTATGTTTATTACTAAAAAGTGTTTCCAGAGTTCATGGAAAAAATTGTAAGCTGTCTTAGTATATAGACTGTAAAAGCTGATATACATTCCTGAGGTAAAAACCTGAATATAGCTTGTCTTTCAATTTGCTTTTTGTTAGGCTTAACGTAAAAGGATGTTTGTTCATGTGTGATGCTGGTGTCTAGCTTTTGGTTAAATTTCTTATAAGATGTGACATCGGCATCATTATGTACATCCTTCATCTTACCAGTGGTCAATGCTATGGCCATATTCTTATACATCCTTCATATTTAGATAGCACCAAGAGATGGGATTCAAATTGATTGGTACATGGCATGTTCGCTGTAAATTTGGCAATCAAATATTAGCAGCTTTAAACTCTTTTCTATGTTCTGAGCAGACAATAGCAGCTTTCTTTAGCCATATTATGACAGCAATAGGTGGAAATTCTGCTGGGCCAGGTTAGTTTAACTCTTCGACTTTTTGCATACTACGGACATATACATCCAGCTATTTCTCACTTTTCAGTTGCCTATCATCAAAACTCATACATGATTGTATATTTTATTAGCAGGCGATGCGGTGGTCAATGTGTACATAAATCATGAAAAGAAGTTTGCGTTCGTGGAGATGAGGACGGTTGAAGAAGCAAGTAATGCAATGGCACTGGACGGGATCATTTTTGAGGCATGCAATCATCCTCGACCCCTTCTCATTTTCTTATGTTGCGTATAATTGGTTATGTGCTACATGTGGTATTCTGCTCTTCATCTGCAATTGCGGTTCCAGATCAATATGCTTCTACAACAGTTTTCCTTTACTGTTTGGCTGATGAAGATGGGTTGACTCATGGTTGCATGATAATGAATTACTAGATTAAACCGATTTTGTTATCCCCTTTCTAGATTATTGCTACATGTCCTTGTCAAAGTATGATTGCCATCTACAAGTATCGTTTGTGCTTTTTTGTGTCTTGGCCATGTTAGCAGCTACAGTATTACCTTCTATGACATGCTCTTTTCTTGTTTTATCTAGGGTGTATCTGTGAGAGTTCGAAGACCTACGGACTACAATCCTTCATTAGCTGCAGTTCTTGGTCCTAGCCAACCAAATCCAAATCTTAATTTAGCTGCTGCTGGGCTTGCTCCTGGGTAAGTGGGGTTTTGTACAATATATGGTTCGGTGATGGCTTATTGCATATCTAAGTTAAGTCATTGTAGGCAGAGCGCATTAAACATTGTTAAGGTTGTAAGTGGACTTCCTGTCCTTTGTCATGGAGCCATGTTTTGCTATTCCTTTTAGCATAGATAGCACGACTTTCCATTTGGTCCCCAATATTTTTGTTATGTTCTGGTTGGTTATCTATCTTTTAAGCATTATTGTGATGATGACTTTGCTATCTTTAACCTGTTCCCAGCGGCATCGGTGGAGCTGAAGGACCTGACCGTGTATTTGTTGGAGGACTGCCATATTACTTTACGGAAGTACAGATAAGAGAGTTGCTAGAATCATTTGGGTATGTCCTCCGTTTGTGATAGTTTATTTTAGACTTATCAGCGATCATCTGCCATACTTATTTTTGTTACCCTTTATATTGTGGTGACATTTACATTTATTACACGTACAATGGTCTGACACACGTCATTTAATGATTCAGACCTCTGCGTGGATTTGACCTTGTTAAGGACAGAGACACAGGAAACTCCAAAGGATATGGCTTCTGTGTCTATGAGGTAAATGCTATTGATAATGGTTCTTTTCTCTCTCAACAACTTTCACATCTAGTTATGCCTATCCCTGATCTTGGTATTTGGCATCTCCATTTCTTCGACCTCATTATATATTGAAAAGAAAAAACGTTTTTAGTTTTTAGTTTTGAGTTTTTCTGTCTACAATGGCCCCTTAGTGGTGCTTCATTATTTAAATTTAAAATTAATTGTTATGATTTCCTTCACTTAGTAGGTGAGGAATCATTCGTTGGGGTATATCATATATGTTACCCGAGGCCCTAACTAGCCTGGCTTCACATATGATACCATACACATGTTGAAGGGGAAATTTGGGAAGTGGATGCTAGGGCTATCTGAGTTCACTTATCTGCATTCTAATTCTTCGGATTTCTGTTTCTTCGGTTATTTCTCTAACTGCATTTTGTCTGTCCAAACAAAAACTAACGGGGTTCTTTTCTTCAGGATCAAGCGGTTACAGATGTTGCCTGTGCTGCATTAAATGGGTTGAAAATGGGTGATAAAACATTGACAGTCAGGCGTGCTACCATCAGGTCGGTCCTCAAACAGAGTATCTTTTACTGACAGGAAAGGAAACCATTTTATTTTGATCTTTGGGGCCCTTTTCCAAGTCAATTTATTGGTCAAAAGAATTTCATAATTTTACATGGTGCGAGTGCGAAATGTTTTTGTCCAATCTTTCTTTTTTGTATAAATAGAACTTTACTACAGGTAAGGTTAGTGTTTGGGTCAAGGATTTTTTTAATACTATTTTTTTTCTCATCCACACAACTCTATACACTTGATTTTTGATAGACATGTGAGTATCAATGGCTTTTTAATGGTTTTGTGAGCACATGCTAACCTTCGTAATGTCAGCGACCGAAGTGCACCATTTCCATGTTTTTTCTGTTCTCCATCTCTAGTCTGTATCTATTATCGTCACAACATGTTGGAAAACATGAAGCATAGTTTCATCAAGCAACATGATTTCGATTTAGTATTCTTGAAATAATCCATTAGGAGACCTTCCATGTTTCAAGCCTGATAAACAAAAATATTACACATTATTTTATGGCCTTGGAGTGATTGTGTTAGCACTGTTTTTTAAGCACATCTTCAAATTGCTTTCACACATGGATAATTTTGTACAGAATCTCTTTGTCCTTGTCAGAACACGATGATAACTCCAAACAGGGACAGCAATTCAGCCAGATGTCTTCTGACGCCTTAAATGATTCTGTTATCTGTAACCTTGCTAATCTTTGGATATCAAAAGACATCTTTCTACTGCAACAATGTTATTGTGCAAATATCCTTGAACAAGTTATCATGCATCCAACATTAATTGCTTTGATATATGGTTAATGAGTTCTGCTCTACTATATTCGGATATTATGTTTTAGTGCACATATGCCTTAGTTTATGTTGCATCCATTTGTACAGCAGCGGACAGATGAAATCAGAACAAGATACCATATTAGCTCAGGCCCAGCAGCATATAGCTATGCAGGTAAAACTCATTGTTTCCTTTGTTATTTTCACCCTGGCAAACTCCTACACGTTTAAGTTGGCTATCTTGTGTGTTGGGGATGTAGAAAATGGCCTTGCAGATTGGTGGGTTTAATCTTCCTGGAGCAGGACCTCACGAGGTTCCAACTAAAATTTTGTGCTTAACTGAGGTACTTACCGAGATTCATGCAACCACTTCCTCCCTCTTCCTTCTTTGAAATATTTGTGTATATAGCCAGTTGAATGAGCAATCTCTATTGAAAGGTGATCACTGCCAATGACCTGATGGATGATGGAGAATATGAAGAAATACTAGAGGACATGAGGGAAGAAGGAAGAAAGTTTGGTAAGCCCACTATCAAATTTCATTAGTTAGTTGTGGACTTGTGGTATTAATGTTTGATTTTTTGTTTTGCCGGATGTGTTTCATTCTTCTTTCCCAAATCATAAGTTGTTAGTGCTGCCAAATAATCTAATGTTCTTGCATATAATGGGTAGGGAATTTAACAAATGTTGTGATTCCACGTCCGAATCCAAGTGGAGATCAAGTTCAAGGTCTTGGGAAGGTATGTGTAAGATATCTCAATATTCAGGTTTATGTAATGCTTGACTAATAAATTGTGTTCCTAATTTCTACTACCATGTTTTTTTTTGGATGGGGAAAAGGGGAGGGGGTGGTGTTGACCTCACAGCTGTAACCGTTGGCTAGTTAGGCCTAACCATGTGCCTTTGCTTGGTATCAAACTTAGTTAGTCCCAACCACGTGCCTTTGCTCGGTATCAAACTTAGTTAGGCCCAACCACGTGCCTTTGCTTGGTATCATACTAGATTACAAGCTCTTTTACTTGCCATCCAAGAGAATTTTGTTTGACAACCTAGGAGAAGGGGCAGGGATGAATAGGTTGTTGGAACAAATTGTAGATTCTCAACACAACTAGCACATAAATGTGGAATTTGAAGGTGAGAGTTAGAGATATGACACTATGATTTATAGGGGTTTGAATCTCCTTGTCCTACTAATACTCAAGCAATCACGAGAGTTCGAATCCATTGAAATACTTATTATTTTTGTAGTTTTGTGTATGTGCAAAATGCAAAATTACACAACTTATACAAGTCGTAAACAAATAATAAAGTGGTAAGAGATTGTCTTATGGAGATTGTAATTTCAAAAACCCAATTGTGATGTTTTAGTGTATAATTCTTGTAATGTTGAAATTGTGATGGTGCTTGGTTGAAATAAGATTTCAAATAAAATGAAATGAAATAAGTAAAAACAAGATTGATTAGATTTATTGAATTAAGATTCAACAGGTGAATAGGATGCAATTATGTACATGGTTTTAAGAGCTGCAAAGTTGTTAAAGGCTCAAGGCGCACTTAGGCATAAAGGGGTCCTGGGGCCTAGGCGCAATGCGCAGGCCTCAAGATTGTGAGGTGCATCTTATAGAAAAGTGTATATACACCAACACACACAGTTACACACAACTGAAATATGTTGCAAGTACAGGCCTCCAATGCAGCAGCCAACAGTACTTTGCTAGAGGCAGAAGGGAGGAGGGTTTAAAACGTGTGCCTTGAGGAAGACGTTTTAAGGTTTGGGTATTTATAGAGAAAGAGGCTTGAAGTTATAAAACTGGCCAACTGGGTATTTAATATTAGGGTTTGACTTATTTCATCTATTTAAGAACTCAAAGAAAATGAGAAAACTTATTTAATATTAGGGTTTGAATAGGTATTTAATAACTCTTTATGAGGAGCACGTAGGCCCACAAGGTGCCTCAGCCAAGGCGCAAGGCCTTAGTGAGCCTCGTGAATGCGCCTAGCCTCGACTCTAAAAAGCCCAAGACCTTGAGCCTTATGAGCCTCAGAGCCTAGGTGTGCCTCAGGCGCGCTTTTAACCACTATGAAGAGCTGTCATGAATGCTGCAAAATGTTGCGACATTCTGCATTGTTACCAACATGTAAAACTTTTTTGTTCAATTATTTTCCAAGTCTATTGTTACTCGTGTTTTCCTTATCAAAATCAACATATTCCTATGCAAAATCATTTAAAGTTCAATAACGAAGTGATGTTTTATGTTATACATGGAGAGCAATACATTCCTATCTTGGCCGTATCAAAAGGAAAAACTAAGGACTTGTCATCGTGATTTTCATACTTCTTTCAACCTTTCCGGTATTAATGATGGTTGATCACTAATCGAAGTAAACATTCATACTCGTAGTTGAACAAAACAAAATATGCCTAAACATATTCATACATCAAATGCTCCTTTAAAAGACTTGGGTGCCATGTTACTAAAATAACTTGTATGAGAGATTTTGATTTGGCCATGGTGGATTAATTTCTGTTAGCTGGAATGCAAGTTAGTCACAAGCTGTAGGAACATTTGATGTTATGTTATATTTATGTGCATTGGTGATTGACCACCATTAATTGCAATTAGATTTGCTTTAATACCGGAATGATTGAACTAAGTTGGAAATTGATACATTTCATTAATCTTTATTTCTGGTCGGGACAATACTGGAATGTATTGTTCGCCATGTATACCTAAAAGCATAAGTTTATATTATTGAACTTTAATGAGTTAACATAGGAATATGTTTGAGTTTGATTAGGGAAGCATTGGGCAATCATCAATCAGGTCGGAAATAATTGAACAATAATATTTTACATGAGCGTAATAATGCAGAATGTGGCAGTATTCATGACAACTTCTATAATCATGGACATAATTACATCCCGAATATTATTCACCTATTAAACCTGAATCTGATAATAGGATCAATTTTGTGTCTACTTGCTCATTTTTTATTTGCAACCTTAAGTCAACAAAATACCGTATTACAATTTCATATTTGCGAGAATTATGCACTAAACAACATCATATAGAGTTTGTGGGACAATCTCTTACCCACTTTATTACTTGTTTATTACGCATATGATAGTGTAATTTGCACATACACAGAGCAATTCCAATAACTCGATGTAATTGTTTGAAGTGAAAAATGCATAGTTTGATAAAATGATCAAAGACGTGGATGAAGCCAATCTAATTTGTGATTTACACATTATAGGCACATGCAAATCAATTTTGAGGAATTGAAGAGCATTGAATGCTTAGGAGTTCAATAAACTTGTATGTTCAAGGAGTCATTCAAGTATTAAATCGGGTGGGTGGTATATTTACCCACCTAAAACAGAACTATGAATATGAACGTGAAAGCCTAATGGTAACTACATTAGATAGCTAACTGCTAAAAGCTAAAATGTCTGTTTCATGTGCATTGCAGACGTAGTGATCTATAATTTTCGAAGTCCCAAAAAATCTCTAAACTTGGCATGCTTTCTGTGGTCAAATTCTGATATTTGAAGTTGCATTGTAGACTTTGTTTCATGCATGAAAAAATCTAATAATGCCACAACACACTTGATAAAACTCTATGAAATGTTAGGGGATGTGTCAATCATAAAAGTTTGAGGGGTATGAAATGTAATTTAATTTTTGTAAAATATACACTTGTACCAACAATCACCCCATTTTGATTATGACAAACTTAGATGATTATTTTAAACAATATTGACAAGTTTATATTGATTAAAACTTTGTGTTCAAGCTTGTCCATTTTGACTTTGTGAGAATAGTCGAATAATTATCTTCCTCCCTAACTCCCCACTTCCTCAAATAAAAAACTTGGGGGGTAAAGAGTATAGCGATAGAGAATCCCCCCTACCCCGACAACTTGAAAGGTATTACTCCTAATTCGACAGCATAATTGTTGTAATATGCACATTTCCCACTTAGTCAACGGCCATAGGATGGCACTAACAATGGATATGTATTAGTAACATTACGATGGTATGATGGATACATTACTAGCTACCTCTCCTGCGAGCTTTTTCCTTCCTCATCTGTTGAAAGTGATAGTTCAGAATTGACTGCTAGAATAGTTCCACCAGGTGTTTAACCGGGATTGGATCAACACTTTTTTTTACCACTTTAACTTGGAAGTAAAAATCATTTGAAAACTAATTGCCAATCCCCTTAACTTTATCCCCATTTTAAAATAAAAAACATTGGGAAGGGGGATGAAAGAAAGTAAACAGATATCCAATGTTTTTGGTAAAAAACTTGATAGCATAATTGCTATAAGTTGGATATATTCACTTGATCAAAGCCAACAATGAAGAAAAAAATAGCAATAGTGCATCCAACGTGCAACACATGTTGGTATGTCAAAATTATTTTACTTGGCATAATAGGAATTCAATACATGTAGGTAAACATTCATATGGATGTGCTCACCTTTTTGACAAATGATTCAAGACTTGAGGTGTAAAACCACTTTTGGTCGATAGAAAGAACAATTTATCAACTCATCTTGGTGTCTAAAAAGATGGTTTCAACAAGAGCATATGGAAAAACTTGATATAAGAGAATTCAAATTCATTATTTAAGAAAGATCAATGCTAAAGTAATTTCTTTCTTAGCACATAAGGTTTATAATTAGAATTGAGCACCAACAATGCATGCTTATGTGCTTTTCACTTTTTCCTTTTGAAAATATGAGGTGCCAAGTGGAGTAGATTAATGTAGATCAATGTTTCTTTTGAAAACATTGATCTTTTAGCATAATTCCTCCAGTAATTGAACATGTCAAGATTAGGATAGTTTACATGGGGATTGAATGCGATAGTCAATTGTCATCCTTGTAAATAGAAAGAATACAACTGTTGTATCACCTTATCTTGTTCGCGTGGCATGACAAGCCAATTAGGTTAGAGAGGGATATCAAATCCGGATTGAAAGATAGGCATAGATAGTCTAAATTTGTTGTAGATCACAAGTTTTCTCCTCAACGCAATGTATATGTATGTATGTATGTATGTATGTATAATTCCAAAAAAGAAAAGAAACAATTAAACATGCCATGATTGGATAGTCTACAAGATGCAATGATTGTATGAATCATCCTATATTTTGCTGATTTAAATTTATTGTGAATAAAGTATTGTATGTTTGAGAGAAAAACACATGAAACTAAAAACGATTGCTTGCAGGTGTTCCTGGAGTATGCGGATACGAATGGTTGTGCTAAAGCAAAGGACTCTTTGGGGGGGCGGAAGTTTGGGGGAAATGTGGTGACGGCGGTGTATTACCCTGAAGACAAATATTTGGAGCATGACTATGGGGCTTAGACGTATGGCTTTTTCTTCATTATTTAAAAAGGTAAACTACTTGGTTAATGTTATTGACAACATAGGTTTTCATGTATGTGTAAAATCATATATATGTATTTGGAATTAGTTGTTGTTTCAATGAAAGTTTTTGCTTAATGAAATTCATAAAGCCCTGGGAAAACCAGTTAAGGCTTGGATCTGCATCAAGGCTGCTTAAGGATCAGTTATGTCTCTATATTGTGTAAAAAAAAATATCGGGCGGAATTCAGGTTTTTGATATCCCAAAATTCTCAGCTGTCCTGTCGATTAAGATTGGGTAAAGTTAACTGGTTAAGACCTTTTGAAAAGACATCTTGTGGTTGTGGTGATTGTTAAAGTGGCACGGTTATATTGATCTCTTTCATTATATACGTACACATATCAGAGATAATATAAATGTGAATTAAATAAATTTAAAGTAAATAAAAATCTGATGAATTTTAATTTAATTGGTGGGATAGGAATGCGACGTGTGATTTTTATTATTTTTGTCAGTTCTAAACTGATTATGCTATAACAAGTTTGACAATTTTTTATTGAGACCAGTTAGAACCAGTTTTTGTCCATCTTTGAATGTGTTTTGTAACATTTCGAGATTATATTTGCAATAATCATATATTTCATATATTAAGAAATATAATTTACATATTTGGTTTCAATATCTACAAAAGCTATGTTACAAAAGTAGTTACCAATTTTTTTTTCTCCATATAATTCCAATATAAAACTTGTATACATAACAAGTATTCAATTACAAAAGATGACACATCATCCCAAAAAAAAACAATCATATATTCTTCATACTTTCCCTTTCCCCTTATCATCATGCTATAATGCACATTTTAAAACACCAAAATGAAGGTTAGACCTTAAGGTCTAGTAAGAAATCTCTTTGATTGTTATTACAGGATGAAAATCACAAAAACACATTTTTAAAGCCATATTTGTATAAATAACAAGTAAACAACGTTTTATCAAAACAAACCTTTTTTGTTACATCAATAAGATGAGACATCACTCATTTATCAAGTCAAACAACCAGATAAACCTTTTTTCATGTGACACGTGAATTTATCACATCATATAGATAAAACTAAAATTTCCTCGCATCATCTTGGGTGAGATAACCCCATTTCCTCAATACTCTGGTATGGGATCGATATCTCATCGCATCACGCTGGTGCAATAAACAAATATTGGGTGAGACGACCCCATTTTCTCGCAACACACTGGTGTGAGGACCCCATCTCATCGCATCCCCTTGGTGCGATAAACCCAACTTGTCGCATTAATAGGATGCTATAAGTCAATTTGTCGTATCACAAAGATGCAACAAACACAACTTCTCACATCATAAGGATGCGATAAAAACAACTTATCGCATCAATAGGATGCAATAACCCAAGTCATTGCATCACACAGATGCGATAACTCCAAGTCATCACATCATAAGGATGCGATAAACAACTTTCAACTTGAAAACCCAATTAATAAAATAAACTCACCTATTGATGTAAAGAACCACCCAGTTCTATTTTTAACATAGTAAGATGAAAATTTATAAAATAAACTCACCTCTTTTTTATTAACTTGGATATCCAACTCGCTATGCAAGCCGACTAATCCCAGGGCGACCACCTACTTTGCAGATAGTCCGGAATCACCGCATTTGAATATCCGTTGCCACAAGGGGATTTTTATTTCTCCTTATGATCACAAGAGATGAAGATGCAGACAAACAACAAGAAGTATTAAGAACAAGGATCACAAAAACAATTTCTTTCTTTCCTTCTTTGACTGCTTCTGCTTTCTCGGCTCAAAGAATACCCACATAAAGTTTTTACCACTTTTTTACTCCATTTTCTATCCCAATGAGATAATACAATTATCTCATTATATTAATCACCACAATAATAAGGGGCGGTGGAGGTTTTTAAATTATTTAAGCATATAACCAAATTAAACCCTTCAAGTTAGTTCCCTTACTAAAAAATAACTCCGAACTTTATAACCGATAAACCCGGTTATCACATTATCTTCCCCTCAAAAAGAATTATGTCCCGAAAATTCATTCATCAAACACCTAATGCCGTCCATAGAGTGAACTACAGAGATTGGCTGAGTGAATTGACGGATGAACCTATGCCTTATATTTTCTTGAGCCATCGGATGAAGGTTGATCTTCTGAGTAGGCACCTCATTCCTCTGGGTGTATAGATATTGAAATAAGTCTTCATTATCGACAGTGTCTTTGATTGGCTTCTCCCATGGTATGGGCCTCATCATCGCATCCATTTGGTTCTTGATCTCTTGTACTCGATCAGAGGATGGTTTGGAGCTCCGAGGTCTGCTGCTGCTTGCTTCTTGCTGGCTCGCTCTGACTGGACCCTCCTGCCTTAGAGCAGGCGTAACGAGTTTGGTTCCTTGAACGGGGACCCTTGCTCTGTGAGTCTGACAGTGTGGTGGTGGCGCGGTGATTGTTACCTTGGCGGCTAGTGGTATAGCCATTGGAGGAGGAACATTCTCCGTTCTGCGTTGCTTTTTCTCTGGCTCCATGACATTCACCACTACCACCTCTTCTTCATCAATCCTCACGGGTGGAGTGGTTTCCATGAAGTATTCTGCGGGTGATGAGAGGCTAGATGATGATGAAGAGGCATAAATAGAAAGAAGCTTGTTGGCATCCTCTTCATAAGCCATCTGTCCTGCCTGAGTGGCTACTCCAGGTGCATCCGACATTGTTTCTTCTCTGTCTACCTCCTCTTGTTCGTGCATAGCCATGGATGTTTGGTGGGATGGCACAAGGGTTTCTCTTTATGAGTGGAGGCAAAGGGGGCAGCAAGAGGGGTAGCACTTGTTGCTGCAGTAGGCTGTTTCTCCCCCTCTTGATGATTTTGAGGACCAGACTGGTCTGGATCCTCATTATCGGCAAGCCTCCTCTTCTTCGACGCTTCTACACAGGTGGATGATGGCTTGGTCGGCTTACACTTAGGCTTCTGCACATTTGTGGGAGCCATAGCCTTGACCTTTGCGTCAAAGAGGTCGACGATGTCTGCAGCTGCGTTGGTGGCTTTGGTGATCTCAACATCTCCTCTAAACATGAATGCGACAAGAGAGCGGCACATGTCTATGACCACCTGCTTGGCTGTGTTGTTGAAGTCGGAGGTGAAGTCAGACTCCTTCTGAAGTAGTCGCCGCATTTCGGTCTGGGTGATGTAGTCGGCAGGAACACTTAGAGGGATGAGCGCTGTCTGATCTTGAGGAGTGGATGTGGAGGCAGCATCCCTCTGAAGTAATCGATCAAGAGCCCTTTGCAGGGTCTATGCATTGATCACCATCAATTCTTGTAGTTGTTCGAGATGAGAAGCATTTGTCAATGACTCAGCTCTCAATACTGCTATGAATGATCGAACTTCATCTAGAGCAGGTGCAGAGGTTGATGGCTGTACATGGACCATGTTGAGTTTTAGCTCATCCAAGAAGCACAACACATAGGTGGCAAGGGTTCAAGGTGTGCACCTCTTGTTCAATGACTTTTGTTGGTCGACCAACTGAGTAAGATTGGATGGATGCACTGGGAGTTGGGCTGGGAATATAGATGTGTCTATTCTGAATCCTAGGCTGCTCTGGCTCTTCCTGAACCAAAGCAGCTGCTCCCTCTCCTCCCTCATCGTCCTCATCGCTCTCTGATGAGGAAGAGCTCTCATCGTCACTCTCTTCTTTCTCTCCCTCAGAGTCCTCTGCGCCAGAACTTGAGATTTGTTCTTGTTTTTGACGCAGGGCCTCTTCTCTCTTCCTCCTCCCTCTTAGCTCTCTCTTCTTCTTCTCGCCTCTCTCTTGCTTCCCTCTCCCTCTTTCTCTTTTCCTCCTCCTCTCTCTGTATTTTGGCAGTTTTCTCTCGTTGTGCCCCTTCTGCAAGCATTAAACGCCTGTTTTGTGGTTAGGCTTCCTGCCTCTTCCTTTTCATCTCCCCCTCTCTCCCTCCTTTTGAGCTCTGTCTTCAAGCGTTAAACGCTTGTTCTGTGACTGAGCTTCCTGCCTCTTCTTCGTCACCTCTCTCTCTCTCTCTCCCTCTCTTGCTCCCTCTCGGGTAAATGTCTTTCTGCCTCTTCTCCCTCGTGGGTTATCCCTATTCTTGTCGGGGTTCGAGGCACTGATTCTAGCACCTCGTGTACTCGTCTGTATGCTCTCCTAACCTCCCTTATCTTCATGTAAGACACCAACTTCGTTGGAATCGGCCTCTCAGCAAGATAGCCATCCTTGTGCACATTGGGCTTGTACATTGAGAGCACATGCACCTTGTGCACAGGATGGCCTGTGACGTCGATATTCCGCTCCTCAATACTAGGTCTTAGAAGAAGACCTAGAAAGCGCAGGAAGAGCAGAGTGGGAAAGTCCTTTCCTTTGGAGACGTCGAGGATCTTCTTGGCGACAACGACCTTGAATTCTGTATACATAATCAAGGAGTAGTCGAGTGGAAGATCAAAGAAAATCCCGTACACAATATGCAGGATGTTCATTGAGCACATATCGAGACTGCCAATTTTTCCCGTCAGTGAGCGATTGACCAATGTGAATAGAACATTCCACATTGGTGGCATATATTGTCGACGGTACTGCGATGTGTACCAAATTTGTTGGCTATACCCCAACATCTTCAGAAAGGCGACCAAATCATCCCCGGTTGGGAGAGGTGCATATTCACTCAAACCAAGATCCGTCTTGGTAGGTAGTTGATGGACGCGGGAAAATAATGACCTTGAAATACGAACAGTAACATATTCTTTAGTGGAGGGAACGTAAAAATCACCAACAATCCCATGTTGGGAGTCGGTTATGTCATAAGACTGCCAAAATTCCTAAATGAATCGCTCATGAACGACATCATCCACATTTTTGAGGGCAGGGTTAAGAAAATGGTGGTGAAGGATGTCAACGATAGGGTGAAACTTGGAGTCAAAGCTATCCGAGATTAGGTAAAGAGAGTGATTGTTGGGTTTCAAGGGAAGAGGGATGATGTTTTGGTTGGTTCCCTCGATGGATTTGAGAGTGGTGGTATGTGTTTGGGAGTTGTTGGATTCTGAAGTAGACATTATGTAGATTTCTTGGAGAATAACGGAGAAGATGACTGGTACTGGGTTTTGGGGAAAAAGTTAGGGTT